CTCACCTCTGCATCCTCAGCTCTGCACTCACCTCTGCATCCTCAGCTCTGCACTCACCTCTGCATCCTCAGCTCTCTGCACCCACCTCTGCAGAACACCAACCTGCACACCCCAAGCAGTTTCTCAGTGCTGAGGCTTGGGGATGATGTGAGTGTCCCTTAGGGCCTTACGTGTTAAACTGAATCCCCGGCGGCTGTGAGGTGCTCAGAGGATGAAGAAGTAAGCCAACTATGGTATCCTGGGGTGAGGCCTTCTGGTGTGGCTAGGGTTACATAAGGTCATGGGGTGACATCATCTTACTTCAGAACTGTACCAGCAGGGAGGATGCCACCAAATGTGACCCCCTAGGCTGTGCCCCCAGGACCACAAGCCCAAATCAAACTGCCTTCCTTGGAACAGCTACTGGCAACCGAAAATGGACTAGCATGCCCGCCTGGGAAGACCAGCCACACAACACAACTCAGGGACAGACATGCCCCTCCCTCAACTGCAGTGGGCCACACCCCAAGATCTGCAAGGGACAGCCCACATGGTGGCTCTGACAGCATGTCCTTTGGGGCTCTTGACCTCTGCCCTGGGAAGCTCTGGTTAGGGCGGCAACCCCAGCACTCCTCAGCCTTTGGCCAACATCAAGCGGACACAAAGCCATGGGACTCCGAAGCCTAGGAATGAGCTGGGATGACACTGGGAGATACCCATGCCTGGCCGATTGCTGGGTGTTCTCTCCACACATGCTCTGTCTCTATCACCAGGATCGTGTATAACTAGCTTGTATAATTGGATGCTCCTCTGGAGACTCCCATCTAGGTTCAGAAGAAGCTGACTATGGCAGCCTATGTCCCTGGCATCCCAGAGATGATCAGAAGTGAACCAGACTTTCTCGCTGGGATCCCCGGGCCCACACCGGACTCTGGTAAGCGCCTTGCTCAGCCATCGCCGGGGAAGGGAGCCAAGGAGGAGACCCACAACAGGACAGTGTGACTTTGGAGCACTCAGTCCTAAATGGGGATATCTCAACCAAACCCCTCCACGCAGGGCTCAGGGCTCAGTGCCCAAGAGGAGGCAGGGGTGGGGAAGCCAGAGGGGATGGAGGACTCCAAGGGGGCGGTGCCTCCCAGACACAACAGACGGACACACACGTAAAGTCACACAGACTGTGGCAGCACAGGTGGTGTCACAGAGCCATCACAGCTTCCTGACAGAGACATAGCAGAGCCGAGCCCCGTGATGGCTGCCAGGCCACCTCTGGTTCTCATCTTCACCTGTCACATACTTGGGGCACTTCTAATTGTACAATTTGAGGATGCTAGGTTGATGGAAAATTCCTTATGAATCATTTATGCCTTCTCCCAGGAATGCTGCTTCTAAGCTTCCCCAGGACAGTCCTGAGCATACTATTCCCTCCCCCCCAACACACACACTTTTAGGGAGATATCCTTATCTACTTGAAGGTCTTCCTTATGCCTTGGAGGTTGTAACACATAAAGAAGCCAGAGGTCTCTTTATGAGGCTATGAGACATTCTTGAAACATCTGTCCCTGTACTTACTCAGAAACAAGATATTCAAAACAAAGTAAAATTAAAAAGGTCAACAAGATTCGGTGGGCTAGAGGAATTGTCCGCAGTTCAGATTACAAGGCTCTTCCCACTGTACACTCAGACAATTACGTGGCATACAACTCTGCCCTACATAGAGACATATTGGTGAGCAAAGTATGGAGTGGAAAGATGATAAAAGAATGAGGTGTCAGGACCTCCCTCTTTTAGAGTTAGCTCATGTAGAGCCACTATAATATCATATGACCAAGGAGCAACAGAATGTCAGGATTAGACATATAAACCAATTCTATAAAGATATAAATGTGAACATTGATTATATTATGCCAGAATTTGAATAATAACTGCAGCAGCTTTAGCCTGAGGATTTTTCCTGGATACTCTGACCACTGAGAGTTAATAATACATTGCTTGAGACATAGCAAAATGTCCAGGGTGGTTGAAGATTTTGCTTTGGTCTAGTGTCCTCAAAGCAACCAAAGCAACCAGCCTGAGCACAGGCTGTCATACGCCTCTAGATTCTCAAAAATTGGGTTATGGGGTTAACGAGTAAGAATGATAACTCTGTTTATTAATGATGTCAAACTTGAGGGGAAATGATTGGAAATGATAACTCTGTTCTGTCATAGTTTATTAGTGATGACTAAAAGATGAGCAAACGGAAGTGAAACACATGTCCAAAATCAAAAATGATATGATCTATGTTTTGGAACATCATGAATGTATCCCTGCTAACTACATTCTGTATAAATAAAGAAACACTCTAGCTGCAAGTCAGTCAGGCTGCAAGATTCTCCTGACCACCATGGCCTGGCTCTCTTCCTTCTCCCGCCGACTCCTTACATCCTCTACAGGACCCCTCCACTGATGGGGAATGGCTCCTGCCACACAGAGACTGCACAGGCCCAAGCCAGATGGTCTCAGTTGTGAGAGGAGGAAATGGATACAATTTCCCACCCCTCACCAGACGCTTCTCCAATCGACATCAGCTCACAAGGGGAAAGCTAGTTCTCTCCAGGGGAGTCTCCCTGGGTATACTGACCACACTCAAGGGAGGCCCCACACCCATGAGCAGGTGGTCAGCACAAGTGACCTCCACAGTAATGTTGTCTCATGTGGCTTTGCCCGAGCTTTTTCCCCCTGACCCTTTGCCCGTATATTATTGTTTACTGACAGCTTTGTGTTTTCATGGTTTCTGTGGATCCGTATATGCTTGTGTGTGCTTCTTATGCTTTTTCTTTTTCATTCTGTTTTCTTGTTTGTTTGCCTGTTTGTTTTCTAAAGAGAGAGAGGGAGAGATCATGGAGTTGGCTGGGGTGGGGAGGATCTGGGAGGAGTTGAGGGAAGGGAAACCATGATCAGAATATATTGTCTGAAAAAATTATCTTCAATTATATATATGCATAAATATATATGTGTATATACACACACACACACACACTCACATAAAACGCGTGAACATGTGCAGTCACTTGGCCCACAAGGGCACGGATTCGCAGGATGGAATGGGGTGGGAGCCTGGGCCCATGAACAGCCTAAGAAGGCATTGTGCTTGTTTGTGTGCCTAAAGTGGGTTTTCACTTTCCAGTGCCTCCTGGAGCTCGGCCAATGATATCTGATGGGCAAAAATGGCGCACATTGAAGATTACAACCTGGTGTTTCGATGTATGTCAAAACTGTGAGGTCGGCCGGGCGGTGGTGGCGCACGCCTTTAATCCCAGCACTCGGGAGGCAGAGCCAGGCGGATCTCTGTGAGTTCGAGGCCAGCCTGGTCTACAGAGTGAGTCCCAGGAAAGGTGCAAAGCTACACAGAGAAACCCTGTCTCAAAAAAAAAAAAAAAAAACAAAACTGTGAGGTCATCGTGATCAGGTTCATTAACATCACTCCTGTCCCCACACAGACCCTGTGCTCTCCCATTTTTGTATACGAAGAAGACTGAATGAACACTGACACTTGGTGAACAATGCCTCGGGAACTATGAGGGAGGCTCCAGGAAAGGCAGAGGGTGTTTTACCGCGGGTACATTTTGTTCCCTGGATTGTTCTTGGACATGATTTCGTGCCTCTCACAACAAACATTAACATCCAGTTTACAAGACATGTTTACTCTTGTTGGATGTCAGATCATAGCTATAGAAGCCAACCTGGTGAAAGGGTGTGCTGGGTGCTGTCCTCAGGGCACCCTGAGTCTGGATATGGCTTTCTGCCTCGCTTTCCTGCTCTCCCAGACATCATCTACAGAGCGGGCCAGGCAACTGTTTAACTGATCTATCCTGAGAAAGTTCTGGGAAAGGACTGTTCTGCCTGTATTTAGCATGTGCTTCCTGGGGTTATTTACATGTTTTTCTGTAGCCAAGAAGAACCTTCTTGTATCATCGATTTGTTTCATTCATGTATAAAGCACACTGAAACTGAAGTACAGTTGTCTACAGCATTAGACTGTATCTGCCCCATTTTTTCAGGTCCTCAGATCCCAGGTCTCTCTGATACAGAATTGCATAGGTCAATGAAAGTCGAAAGAACACCTTTTTCTTAAAAAACCAGAACTTGAGCCCCTGGCTGAGGCAAGCGTTTCTTCCGAACCCTCCTCCACATACCGTGAACATCGTCTTCAGCATCAGACTCTTCCAGAGAGACCTGAGGCTGGGCTCTCACCTCCAGGTTTCTGCTCAGCCAGCTGGTTTGTTCCAAGGAGGAGCCAGCAATGGTCCCTACCGCTTCCAGGATTTTCTGCGTGATTTCCTGGAGAGCCAGCAGAAGCAAAATGGGACTCAGTTAGGAAGAAGGAAAGCTAAGGTCCAGTAGAAACAGGGTACAGGCTACCATCGGGAGCCACTGCGGCAACATCAGACTTAATAAAGATTCTCTACCTAAAAGATACCAAATAAAACAGTGTCGTTCTGACTGGCCATGCTCCAAGTCTTCACTCAGCGCCTGGGGCTAATGGCTGCTGTTCTCTACCAGCCGGCAGACATAAGAGACCAAGCTCAAAGTCAGCAGGACTGACAGGAAAGCTGTACCCGCACCTTTACTAAGCTGCTGCACCAGCCCTACCATGCTAGGCCGAGAGGGGACATGGAGTCACTCATGCTGAAACCCTCCTCACTGGCAGGGTGGCGACACTTTCTCTGCCTTAATCCTCAGGCAGAAGCAAAGCAACATGGACCAATTGCATTCTGCTCCTGTCCTGCCTCCCCTTGCGCTCCTGACAGGGAGAGCCTCTGGGGCAATTATATCCTTCGGTTTTGTTTTCCGGAGTCTTTCTCTGTCTTCAGAACCACTTACTCTAGTTCATGGGACGAATATTACCTTACTCTAGAACCACAATAAAGCCAGTCAAGATCTGTGTAAATCACGCAGTGTGCAGTAGCGCATGCTTGAAATCCCAATCTCTTTGCTAGGCAGAGAGAGGAGCATTTGAGCTGGTGCTACACAGGGAGACTCCTCTATCTCAAACAAAGCTGTCCTTAAGATAAATGGCTCTGGGGTTGTTATTTGCATGAGAAATACATCTTTCAATAATATAAGACGAAACAAAATTAAGTAAATAAAGTTGGCTAGACTGGGGTGACGTGAGCAGCCATTTGCAATCAGGAGTATTGTCAGACGAGCACGGTGTAAACATGAGGACCTGAGTTCGAATCTCCAGCACCGACGTGGAGGGCTGGGCGTGGTTGAAAGCATGCCTGTGACTCCAGCACTACGGGGCATGGAGAGAGAGGGGACCGCTGGCCTCGCTGGAGGCCAGTCTAACTCCAGGTTCAGTGAGAGGCTCTGTCTCAAGGGAGTAAGGCAGAGAGCAGCTGAGAAGACAGCCAATGTCCTTCTTTGGCCTTAGCATGTGTGCACATGGTAGAACACACATGTGCATATACCATACACACAGACCCACACAGACGCACATACACAAAAAACAAACAAAACTACCCCAATAAATTATTTAAAAAGGGGACACACACACACACACACACACACACACACACACACACACGGTGTCTGCTCAGGGACTGGGGTGTAACCCAGTTGTTAGAGGACGGCATGAAGCCCCCCCCATTTGATCCCCAGCACTGCACACAGCCAGGTATGGCACACACCAGCAATCCTAGCACTAGAGAGGGGAGGCAAGAGGATCATGAGTTCAAGGTTTTCCCCAGCGTCAGAGAGTTCAAGGCCAGGCTGGGATCCGTGAGACCTTGTCAAAACAGAAGAAAGAGTCTGGTCAGTAGCTAGATTCACAGGATGCCTGAGCAGGTTCTGACCAATACTACCATGTGTCACCAACGAAGAGCATCGATGTCCTCTGACATCTGAGAACGTAACAACCCTAGTGTGACGTGAAGATCCAGGTTCCACAGCACTGATGCAAACCCTGACTGTGGACGGCTGGGACGATGCAGACCCACGGCTGCTGGCTCTTGGGTTGTGTTCACTTCCCTCAACAGCCATGCTGTCTGACCCAGCATCTTTATGGATGTCAGGGAATATGAGCTTAGATGAACACTAGTTTCTACTTGTCCAGAAGTTCAGACATCATCAGTGGCATTGGAAACCCACAGCCAAGATCTCTCACCTCTACTTAGACACAGAAGCCTGGTGAAAGGGGAGGCACTGGGGCCCTCACCTGGCTTGCCTTTCCTGCTGACAGGAAATTTCAACACCACTGTTGAAACCAGAATTGCCTGAAGAGACAATCCATGCTATGCTAAAGATATCTCAAACAAGGATGTCAGGTATGGTACATAAACTGTGTTTACTCACTTTGGGCCAAAATGACCTATGACCTGGAAGTTCCAGTTCTCTCATGAGTGAAAGTTCCTGAAGAGAAGCTGTCTCTTCTGTGAACAGAACTCCAGGGAGGAGTCTGTGTCCGCAGAGACTGACGGACTGATGGGAGTTTCAGTTCAGACATTGCAATTTTACTTTATCTTGGGCTGGTTTTAGGTTCTGGAATTCCTTGCCCAACTCCGTATCTGAACTAACACCTCATGATAACAGTTAAAGACCTCTCAGGAGCTATTAACTCATCAGAACCCTGGTGTCCACCAATCCAGGAGCTAAGGCAGCTCTCAGACAGCCTCCTGGACCTATAGCACAGCTCCACCATCCTTTGAAACCCGCCTCTCTGGTCTACCCACCAATGTATTTTAAAGTTGTCTTGATTTATGACTTTCTTTGTTCTGTAAAACTGTAAAACCTTCATGAAACTGCTTCCGAGCTGGAACATGGGATTTGTGGTAACCTAAACCTGTGTTCCCGGGCCATGTCACTCAATGGATCCTGTGGTGATATCATGTTCCCCAACATATTGTACACCCTAATAAACTTATCTGGGGTCAGAGAACAGAACAGTCACTAGATACAGAGGCTAGAAAATGGTGGCACTCACACCTTTAATCCTAGCATTCCAGAGGCAGAGATCGGTCTGGATCTCTGTGAGTTCAAAGCCACACTGGCAACAGCCAGGCATGGTGATACATGCCTTTAATCTCAGGACGTGATGGCAGGAAGCAGAAAGGTAGATAAGGTGTGAGGACCAAGAACTAGCCTGGTTAAGCTTTTAGGCTTTTGAGTAACAGTTCAGCTGAGATCCATTCGGATGAGGACACAGAGGCTTCTGGCCCGAGGAAACAGGATCAGCTGAGGAATTGCGAGGTGAGGTAGCTGTGGCTTGTTCTGCTTCTCTGATCTTCCAGCGCTCACCCCAGTACCTGGCTTCAGGTTTGTTTTCATTAATAAGACCCTTTAAGATCCGTGCTACAGGCTCCAGTATAAACGATCTCTCGTTCTCTTTAGGATGGGAGCTGTGATTTTTGACACTGACACTTCTCATCGCTAAGCCTGGACAGCGCCCTCATAGACCCACCACACAACTTTGCTAACAAAAGGAAATTCTTTAACCTTCGCGTATGAATCACACTCTGAGGATGTCGCTTGGAAGCCACAGCACCGTGCACACAGCTGTTGTGAGGACAGTACACAAGACCCGCCTTTGAGAAGCTCTTATCCACACTTACCTTCCCTGAGAGTCCCTTTCTCCCCTGAGCCTTGCGCTTAGAATCTGCACTGCAGTTTCTCTTAATAAGCTACAACAGTGTGACCCTGGTTTGTCCTAAAATCTTCCTGTGTAGAAGCCAAGAGTCCTGGCTTGCCTGGACGCAGCTTCCAGGGGAACAAAACTCCTCAGACTAAGCTGGTGACAGCGTGGAGCCGTGCCTCAGTCCCCACGGCTCACACTTCCACTCGTGTATCTGAAAATGCCTTGAGTCTTAGCTGTCTGAGTTCTGTAGCCATGCAAACTTCACGATGCCATCTCTCTACTGGACCATGGTAGTGAGGACAACCCGAGGCTGCTCCCAGGCTAGTCACTCTCTCCCCGCCGACTCCCTCCAAGGTGAGGGCGACTCCCTCCGAGGTGAGGGCGGTGCTCTGTGTGACCCTGTAGTGCTGCCCAAGGGTCCCGGGCCTGCACCTGTGAACACAGCTGCACTACCTGTAAGAACACATCTGTTGTAGAGGTGAGAGCCCGGTACCCCCCCACCCCCCGGGGCAATCAGCTGGTGGGTAACTTGGGTTCGCCCAAGGCAATGACCAGAAGGAATGCCATAGCACGGACTGTGGTTGAGAGGCGCCTCCAGGAGTCTCGGGGCCGAGCCATGGGTGTGACACTCAAGTTCTTCCTGGTATACAGTTCTGAAAATTCTCGACGGCGATGAACCAGCCTGCCTCCATCTTGGGCTTAGTAGCCACCTTACAGGAAAGACAAACTAGGCCCATTCCTGTCTAGGACTGACCTCTGTTTCTCAAGGATTGGGCTGTGCCCCACCTGTAACCTTAACTACAAATGGTTTGGTACCTCCTGTTCCAGGAAAGGGTAGCCATGTCTTTGTTTCAAAAAGTTACTAGAACCATCTTGCAGCACTATCTTTGTTTCAAAAGGTTCTTAGGACTGCCTTGTTAGGACCACCTTGCAGTCATGTCTGTTTCAGGAGGTCATTAGACTAACTTGTTACGCTCATGTCCTGTTCCTAGAACCCTGCCTATTTTGCCCGCCAAACCCCCACTGGAAACTGCCTCCTGCTGAGCCTGTAAAAACCTTGTCTTCCTCACATCTCATGCTGACCTCTCAAACCCCACCTTAGGGGGAGGCCGCCCGTGCTTTAATTAATTTGGCCACGATGGTTTGGGTTGGTGGTCTTTCTCATCCAATCTTTGGGATTAACAGATAGCACTCCCCCAAATCCTTAAAATACAAAACGATAAATGTCCTTCTGAATGTTAATAATCTGACCAGTGTCTGCGAGTCCCTGGAGGGCTTCAGGGATGCAAAGACCAGGGCGGGAAGAGAGGGTTGAAATGTACAGCCCTGCCCCTCAAACTCGCACTGACCACTGACAGCCAGTACCCCACTCAGCTCCTTCATGCGGGAGCTTCCACAGCCCTTCAAGGGGTTGTTAACCAGCCCTGGGAGGGGAGAGCCTGCAGACCGACAGTGGGGTCCTGGAAGGACAGTGTTGGGCAGTGGCTCTTCACCTCTGGTGTCCTTGGTAACAAGCTGCAACTGTGCTTCCAAGCTGTCCAGTTAGAGGAGGGACTGGGAACCCTAA